CTAATTACAGGAGGAAAAGATGTGGCAGTCTGCTTCGATAAAAATTACAGCCTTGGAAACCCTATAAGGCAGTGCTGCTCTCTCCTATGGGGTCACTATGAGTCGTAATTGACTTGACAGCAACAGGTCTGGTTTGTTTTGGTTTAGCCATCCTGTTTGGATTCAGTGCTCTGTCAGGGAAGCTCAAAGGAGAGGAAGGAGTCACTTTCCCAGCCTGGTGAAGACAGGCAAGGCTTCTTGCAGGAAGTGATTGCCTTCACTTCCTGCTCATGATTCCAAAGGCTCTATTCTTGATCCACACCTTGGCACCTGTTAGATATCCCCACCTGGATGTCCCCAGACATTTCAATCCCAATACATCCACACCTAAGTCTCCCTGAGTTCTTACAGGAGTGCTAGCACTTTCTACCTAGTTGCAGGGCCAGAATTTAGGAAGTCATCCCAGATGCCTTCTTTCCCCTTCACTGCCTGCTTCCTGGGAGATCTTGAAGAAGGAGAGGGGTTAGCCAGTGGAAGAGAGGAATGCCATGCAAATGGCCCCTATGAGGCGAGCAAGCACAGGATGGATGTGGAAACTGCAGGAGGATTGTGAGGTAAGATGGAGGAATCATGGCTATGTGAGGGGTTTAGGATTTTCCAGGGCCACTGGAGACTTTAAGTAGATTTGTTCTTTAGAAGGGTTGTTGTTAACAAAGCAAAGTCTAGATAGAGCCTAGAGAGCCTGAGCTGGGAGATTGGCCCAATGGACTTTGGAAACAGATCTGATCCTTCTACTTTGACCCTGAGTTTGCCAGTACCAAAGCAGCTACAATAACATCTCTTGTGACAGAATTGCCAGTTGGGAAACCTTTTGAGTTTGCCTCCCCCCTGCTTTCTTTAAGTGTGTGAGGCAGCTGGCCATCACATTCACTGGAGACTTGGCAGGTGGGAAAGGCAGGCTGCTAAGGACCTTGGGTGAGGCCCAGCTACCTTTGTACCCTACCTGCTGTCCCCTGCTTGAAGGTGGGGTGCTAGTTTTATACGCTCCCAGAACTGGCAGAATCAAACCCAGAAAGTAGAATTTCTTCCAAATGTTTCACTTTACTTTCTTCCAAATTTCAACTTTTTCAGGAACAGAAATGGAGTTACAACTTTTCCCCAAAATAATTTTTAAACATGTTACTCTTTTCAAAAGAACAGGATTTCCCAGAGCTAATTACAGGAGGAGAAGGAAAAAAAAAAAAAACAACACTTTGATATATTCTTTTTATAAGAGCTATCTTATTTACTATGAGTTGAGCACTCTTTTATGATTCTATTGTGCAGAGAAGGAAACTGAGAGCACAAGAGATTATGCAACTGTTAGTATGTGATCACAAGCTGGTGAGGGGAGCCTGGGTTTGCACAGGGCCAGGTGGTTCCAAAGTCTGAGTTCTGTACCACTGTAACCTCTCAGGTTGGCTGAAGGAGGGAAAAGGCATCCTCCCCTGAGTTCTTGTGTTGAGGCTGTTGCTATTATAATCCAGGCAAGAAGTAATGAGGGGATGAACTCAATGGAGATGGAAGTAGAGGAAAGGGGGCCAATTAGGATCTAATTAAATTAAAAAAAAAAAAAAACCTCACTGCTGTTGAGTCGAATAGTAGCAACCCCTCCTTGGATTTCCGAGGCTATATCACTACAAAAGTAGATTGCCCAATCTTCCTTCCCAGGAGTGGCTGGTGGGTTTGAATCCCCAGCCTTCTGGGTAATAGTCAAATGCCTTAGGCACTACACCACCAGCGCTCCCTAGGATCCACTTAGGAAATACATATTTAGGCTACTTTGAGAAAACATATTTAGGAAAGGCAAAATAACATTTAGGGTGAGAGAGATACTTGAGATGATTCCATGGTCCCACAGAGAGTTCCTCCTAAAGTACTTGCATGGCTTCTATGGGGAGGAGAACTGCAGAGAATAGAATAAAAATAGAATAGAAGGCAGAAGATGTGAAAAGTGTTGGAAGACTGACATCACTACAGTAAAGGACAGTTACTCGACTCCTCTCTATCTACTTGTTACTATTGTTCACAGAAAGACAAGAAATCCTGTTCAGAAAATCTTGACAGTGTCTGAGATTACTGAACCTTTGGGAATGAAGGGAGGGAATGTGGGATAAAAGTGAAAGTTCAGGATCTCAGAGGAGCTAAGAAACTTTAATAGATGAGAAATAGGGTAAGTGAAAGATGATCACCGAAATCTCAGACAGAAGCTCGTCGCCAGTGTCATACCAAGGAACCACAAGTGAACACTGAGGGTTTTTTAGTAATGTGATAACATTCTAAAACATTGTGGGCTCCACAGCTGTGCTTAGGACAATATTTACAAACCTATAGACTGATCTTAACATGGTGGTGTCCTCAGGTGGCATGTATACTACAGAGAGGGGAGACAGGAGTTGGGCCTGAGTTGGAAGGGTGATTCAGGTCAGCATGTAAGAAAACAGAAAAGGAAGTTGGTGTCCCCAGAGAAGTGTTTGATTTACTGGCTCTGTGAGTTGTTTTCTGCTGCTCAGGAAAAACCACGCTGTTGGCACAGTACCCTCTAGTGTTTGGGAGAGTCACTGCAGCTTTGCATGGTAAAGGCAAAGTCGGTGGATTCTGTTATCTTGAGTAAATATTTACAGTAGTAATCTGTAGTGACCCAGGGCCTACTTGTTATGTGCATTTTACTACATCTCCACCCCCAAATGGAATGCTCCAGCCTGGCTAGGTTGGAGGTAAGACCAGAAGGAGTATGCTGTGGTGTTGTCTCCCAGAGCCTGGGCAGTTGCCTGCTACCATCTCTAGCAGGGAAGGCAAGATGCTGTTCCATGTTTGAAGTAAAGGCTTAATTTTTTACTTCAAATTAATCTTCACTTTGAAATATCACCCAACAGAAACATAATTTTATATATCACTCCCTGATGTTGTATAATGTCAGCTGTGGAGCCAGCAGCTCTTCTTTGAGAGAGGTTTTGGTCACACCAGCTATCCTCAGGTGGCCAGTTCTAGATAGATTTCCTCCCTCCCTGGTTCATCCACTCTCTGGCAGTGTGAGCTTGGCAAAATTATTTAACTTCCCAGCCTCTGGCTTCTCATTGGCAAACTGGATTGTGGTAAGGAACACATGCCAGGATGTGTATAGAGCCCCAGCAGTGTCTGGCACACAGTAGGTGCTGTGAACATTTTATATCTCTTCTGCCTCTTCTTCTTGGCTGCCTTAGTAAATTGAACACTTGGACTTGGCCACTGAGTACCCTTCCTCCTTGTCACTAGGAATTAACAATTGTTGGCAATGGGAAAAAAAGCTTAGTGAATAAATAATAATTACTTTAAACACCAGAATAGCTTTTGTGTGTGTGTGTGTGTGTGTGTGTGTGTGGTAAAAGATATGTAACATGAAATTTGCCATTTTAACCATTTTTAAATATATAATTCAGGATCATTAATACATTCATCATGTTGTACCACTGCTATCTTCTTTCAAAACTTTTTCATCACCCCTGACAGAAACTCTGTTAAGCAGTAACTCCGCACCTCTCCCTCCCCCCAGCCCCTGTTAACCTCTTTTGGATTGCTTTTTTGACCTGTGAGAATGGCCAAAATGTAGATCCTCTATGTTCCCAGGGAGCCTCTAAATCTCCGTTTGGGGCTTTTGGAAGAGTGGACCAGTACCAGTTTGTGTGCTGATCTAAAGGGAGAATGTGGTAGTTAAGGTTATATGTCAACTTGACTGGACCTGGTTTTGAGTGGCTAGGCAGCTGGATATAGTTTTTCCCTGTGGAGAAATTGGTAACCAACTGCATGGTGGAATCTGCCATGAACAGCTGAGTAGCTGCTTTAGGGATGTGGTCTGCTTCTGATATATAAGGAGAAGCTTTGGGAATGGTCTGCAGCTTTCTGCACACTTGAACCCCACATGTAGCTGAGTCGTTGTTCAGCAGCCTGCCATGTTGTCTCCCGATTTTGGGACTCCTGATAGACTTGAATCAATGGCCTGCTGTGTGGTTTGATAATATCGGGACTGTGCCTTTTCACTTGTCAACCTTGGGTTTGTCAGCCTCAGCAGCCAGCAGCTGCCTGAGTGAAGAGAGCCTTCAGCTTCAGTGAGTGGGAGCAAGAGGCAGAGCTGAAGCCTAAGGTCAAGGAGCTTTCACCCAGCCCCTAGAGCCTGGCACTTTGAATTCAGACTTCTACCCTCCAAGACCATCAGAGAATAAACTCTTGTTTGTTAAAGCCATTCCACTTATGGGTATTTTGTGTTAGAGCAGTGCTGGAGGTAACCAAAACAGAGAAGGTCGGCTGGCAGAGACACTTTCTCCATCCCATCCAGAGAGAAAAGCCCTCACACGTAACTTCAGGGAGTACCCTCATTTTTTTCCTGTGGGAGCTTGATAGGCCAAACAAATCTGTATCTAACATGTTTTACCACGAGAGAAAGATCCAACATGGAAGGCAGATCTGGAGACCCAGAATCAGCCCACACATCCTCCTTGCTTGGTTGTTGAATAGTACGGGAAGGACAGGTGAAGAATAGTGAGTGAGACCTAGGGATACGGGTAGCATGTTTTCCTGTTAGTCCTTGGGCAAGTTGCAGTAGTGGGTGGGACAAGGTCAGCAGTTAGTGTTAGCTCTTTCTGGGTCTGAAGATTGGGTTCTCTGACTTGTGAGGCAGTTGGCATTTTTCCAGAGAGGAAACCCAGCTTCAGAACATTATCGCACCCTGTGACATGTCACTCAGTGCCATGACTCAGTCCTCTGTATACTTGTGAGTATGTTGTGAATTATATCTGGGTCAGTTGCTCTGTTACTCATAGGAGTGTTAAACAGCTAGACAGGCTTTCCCAGCACACCATGCAGCGTACTGACATTCACTATCTGAGCCTGTGCTAATTTTAAGAAGAAATATTTGCATGAAACTCTAATTTAAAAAAATTGAAAATGCTCATAACATAAAGTTATTATGTATGCTAAATGATTTTTTTCAATTTTGTTTCCTTTAGGAAAACTACCCTATCCCTGAACCAGGCCCAAATGGTAGGTCCTTGGGAAACAGGACTTGTGTTTTATTGATTTCCTGTTGTTTACCTTGGAGGCATATGTGCATTGCTTCTTCATCCCTCTTTTCCTACTGCTTATTACCTTTGCCTCCATTAGAAACTGTGCTTTTGTTAGGCAGAGAACCTAGTCTGACATGTACAGCATGACTGGGTGGGTTAATTTGGTTGCTGCACAAAATAAAAGAAACAGTGAGAGAACCAAAAAAGTTACTAGATCAGACTGCTGACTTGTCCCAAGGAGTTTTTGGCATAAAAAGATCTTCAAGCTGTAGACCAAAGGCAAAATTGTTCCTCTTTCATCCTGACATCTTAGATTAATCTAACCACCATAAACTGCTATTTGGGTTACCAGATTATTTCCTTCTGCAAGTTTTGAAAAGGAGTGAGTGTATAGATTTTAATTCGTTAGAAAAGGGAACATCATGTCATTCCTGTCTCCTTCCTGAAGAGTGGGACAGCCTTGTGCCCAGTGGGAGGGGAGGGGCTGCCACACTGCCCTAATCAACCAAACTCAGAAAGTAGGTAAGCACAGTGGGGCAGGGTTCCCTACACTTTTGCTCTGCTCTTCCTGGGTTTTTCAATGGGCAGGGCTGCCAGGCCAAGACTGCAGTCACGTTTCGTGGGGTGGTGTCTGGGCCTGGGAAGTCATGCTGCCCTGTTGGCTAGAGCTGCTGGGCAGATCCCTGCTGACAGTTTTCCAATCCCTCCCATCCCTGGAGTGCCACATCATCGTCTGCGGGACCCTGAAAGGAGGCTGGAGGCAAGGGGCAGAATGTCTGCAGATAGCGCATCATGCCCCTTCCCTACTCAGCCGCTCAGCCCTCAAGACTGTAGCTTATTCTTCCCCTGTTAGGAAACATCAGGTTGAAGGCAGCTCTCCTCCTAGCTGCAGAACTTTGCTCTGGATCTGGGTCATTGGGTTACTGATTTGTAGTGATAAGATCACAGACAATAGCTGTTTTTATCAGTGATTAGCAAGTAATATACATATTTAGAGTTTAAGTGTTTTCACCAAGGTATCATATTCAAATAAGCAAGAGAAGCACCTCACTGGATCCTGAAAAGTTAGTGTTGATTCTAGAGGTGGCTAAACAAGTGCTATCTTGGCTTCTTGGAAGCAGCATTCTATTCTCTTTCATGTGCTACCCGTGAATTGGAAGGGGACAAGATGATAAATTTTAGCGGTAGTTCTAGCAAGTCAAATATTACCTCTTATTACTACAAATTGGTCATTTCAAGAGAGGAAACCCTGAAGTGATTTTCCTAACTCAAAACACTTTTCCCTACCCCTTCCTCTTAGAAATCACTCTGTCATTTCTCACTCTGTTTACCAAAACCAAAGACGGAAAAAGTTCTACAGGGCCACACCTGGTGGATGGCACGTAGTTTGTGGTGAGGGCAGTGTGTGAGGCATCTGAATGTGTAACAGAGCTTTTGAATCTCTGTTCTTTCAAAAGCAGCACTTTTTCTCAGGAAGATAGTTGTAACATGGCCATCGCAGTCACACTGAGCCTGTAATCCTTCAGTGCTTACTTCAGTGCAGGGCCTCAGGAACATCATTTTAAACTTGGAAAGCTGACAACACAATAGCACCAAATCTCAGCTTTTATCAAACCCATGAAGGGGAAATGTCAGTTGAAATTGTTGAACAGTTTAAATTAAAGCTTCACTGTTTTAGAAAACAGGCATGAAGCACTCAGCCTGATAGCTCACAAAGTGTTGCTAAGTGGAGGTTCTGCTAGATTCCCTTTATGTGAGATTCTTTTGTGAATAGATAAGAGTCAGGTGTTCAGCATGTTTATTGTGTCGAAACAGTTATCTCCTGGAAACTAGTTTGTTCTTTTAAGTGGTGGATGCTTTTCTTCCTACTAAATAATATCTTATTTGTGCAGTTAATGTATTAATTTGCTCTACAGAAGATTTTTTGCCTTGTAAGATCTAATTGGAGTTGCTATTTGGCTTGTTTTCCCCTGTGGTCTAACTTTCACCATGGGTCTTGGAAACCCAGCCCTCACCTGTCTGGAGGGAAATCGTTGGGACACCTCAGAGTGCCAGAGGGATCATTCCATCCCTCATTTGTTTTCTCTTCCTCCTTTCTCTTATCAGAGGTGCTGCTGAAGATGCATTCAGTTGGCATCTGTGGCTCAGACGTCCACTACTGGCAGCATGGTCGAATTGGGGATTTCGTTGTGAAAAAGCCAATGGTACTGGGGCATGAAGCTTCAGGAACAGTCTTCAAAGTGGGACCACTGGTAAAGCACCTGAAACCAGGTCAGCAAACTCCCTCAGCTAACCAACTTATTTATTCATTCAACATAAATATTTATACATGCTTTATCTAAGCCAAGCTCTCTGCTAATCACTGGGTTTGCAGCTGTGAACAAGACAGTCTTAGCTCCTGTAACTATGGATCTTATCTTCCACAGGGTAACATACTTCTGAGATAGACAGTGACTTAGTCACAGTTATTTTAAGGGCAGTGGAGGAGAAGGCAGCGTGCTATTGGTATGTTTGACCCAGATACCTGGCTTGTCTGAGGAAAGAGTAATTAATCTGACACCTGTAGTCAAGTAAGAAATAAACTAGGTAAAACCAAAGCACACAAACTCACTGCCACTGAGTCAATTCCAACTCATAGCAACCCTTTAGGATACAGTAGAACGGCCCCATCAGGTTTCCAAGGCTATAAATCTATGGAAACAGACTGCCTCATCTTTTTCCCATGGAGTGGCTGGTGGATTTGAACCACTAACCTTTTAGTTAGCAGCCAAATGCTTTTATGACTGTGCCACTAGAGCTCCTAAACCAGGTAAAGGACTAGGGAACATGCTCTAGGGACCAAAACCTCAAGCTGCCTCAGCATGCTGAGAACCAGGCCTTGGATTCAGTCTTCAATTTTTATTAGATGGCTGGAAAACCACCAATATTTTTCCTATGTTTGCTTAATTCATTCAGTAGCTCTCAGCTGTAGCAGACTCTTTCTTGTTCTCTGACACAGTGAATTAAATCCAAGCTGTGTTGGCATAGCTAGCTATTGACACTAACCTTCCTTTGCTGCTGAGGCTACTGCCCAGCCTTGAGATGATGTCAGATTATGTAGGGGACGATGGGGGAGGGGATTAGCATGAACTATCATGTGAGGTTTATTTTAAGGTTTTCTGAGCCCAGCCACACAGAGAAGGATTGAACACCTCTGAAGATGCAAGACGTGTATATCCTTGAGGAATGTTAAGCCAAGACCTCCATTCATCATTAGTGGAAGTCCAGAAAGACCCTGTGATTTTGCAGGATTATTGCAAAGTGGAACGTTCATAGCTTCCAACAGCCACTGATAATTAGTTCTTTCCAGTGGGATGAGGTCTGAACCAAGAGTGGGATTCTCTAAATTTAAGTTATAACAAGTGCTTACTCAGTGTCTACAATTGGTGTAGCACAAGGACAGTGGGTCATTCTCTAGGCTTGTGTTACTGGACACAAGTGCCTTGCTCATGTTCGTCTTGGTCTCTCACTTTGTCCCTGTCAGAAGGGGAGGTTTCTACTCCTTTCTATAGGGTTGACTGCCTTGGCTCAGGCAGGAGGACCTGCCAGGGTTTGTAGGCTAGTATCTGATTAGCTGGTATGAGTCACTCTCAAGTTCAGATGGGTTTTAATTCCAGTCAAAATGTTGTTCAGCATGCAGCAACACCGGTGATGTTAAAGTCTCCTCCTGCAAGCCTGTGCTCTGTGTTCCTCAAACACAGAGGCCACTCACTTTCTCATGGGTGTAACTGGAGTTCTCTGCAGGGCTGTGTACTGGCCTGAGGATGAACCATCTGAACTGTTGCAAAGGCAAGTACTAAGAGCCTTTGGATAACTACTTGCCTTTCTAGGTAGTAATGAAACTTATATGCCATGGTTTCTTTCCCTTCAATTCACAAATTTTGTGTTTATCAATAAAAATGAGTCTAGCACAATGCCAGACACTGTGGAGAAATAAAGATGGACCAACCCAAACAAACCCACTGCCATCAAGTCGATTGTGACTCATAGCAACCCCCATTTTTTTCGGACAGAGTAGAACTGCCCCGTTGGGTTTCCAAGGCTGTAAATCTTTACAAAGCAGACTATCTCATTTTCTCCCGTGGAACAGCTGGTGGATTTGAACTGCCAACATTTTGCTTAGCAGCCTAATTCCTTAACCACTATACCACCAGAGCTCCCAAATAAAGATGAAAGAGAAAACTAATCCTGAGGCACTCTCATCCTAGATTAGCAGGCAAGACACATAAAAAAACAACTAGAAAACTGAAAACAACCCAGGTGTCTGTCAAAAGAAGAAAGGCTCCTGACTGTGGAATATCAGGGATAATGATATAATAGAAAACTGTTCAGCAGTAAAAAGGAATGAATTATCAATATGATATGGATCAATCTGAAGAGCATCATGCCAAGTGAAAGATGGCAGATGCAAAAGAGTACGTACTATGTGACCACATTTTTATAAAGTTCCAAACCAGCCAATACTAATCTGTGGTGGAAAAAAAAATCAGGACATTGGTTTCCTCTGGGAGTTCAGGTGGGGATTGACAGGGAAGGAACACAGAATAAAAGTTTTTGGGTACTGATAATGTTCTGCATCTTGATAGGGGTTTGCATTACACAGGTGAATACATTTATCAAAATTCACCTAATGTTCCACTTAAGATATGTACCTTTCATTGCATCTAAATTTTATATCAAGAAAAGAAAACAATCAGATACGGGAATCTAGTTAATGATAAGTATTCTGAAGTATATGAAACACTTAACTGTTAACCAGAAGGCTGACGATTCAAACCCACCAGCCACTCCTCGAAATGAAGGTTGGGCAATCTACTTCCATAGTGATACCAGCTCAGAAACCAAGGAGGGGTCGCTATGAGTCGGGTCTGACTCGACAGCACATAACAACAACAACAACATACTGAAGTGTTAAAATGTACTCATGTCTACAGCCTACTTTGAAATGCATCAGAAAAGAAGATAGATTGATGGATGGAAGACAGATTGAAGGATAGATGAATAGATAAGCAATTAAGTGTGATAGTTCTTTTACCTTTGATGTGTTTTTGAAATTTTTCAGAATAAAAAGATAGAAAAGATAACTGGAGGGTAATTCTAACTCTGGGTTTCCAACCACGGATAATGAGACAGAGTGGAAGTTGAATAGGGCCTGCTGATCACATGTCTTGGATGCTACTATCTCCTTTACCGGAATCTGAGGCCCTGGCAGACTGTTGGACTTATAGGTTCTGCTCATTGGGAATCAGCTGACTTTTAGTCATTTTCTAAACACAACACATTAAACATAAGACAGGTCATAATTATAGCTTTTGTCTTTGTAAACACTTACCCCATATTTTTGGAACAGGTAAAGAAAAAAAAAATGTCTGCAAACACCACACACTAGCTCTGTGTTGGCAGCTATTTGAGATGGGGGCTAGACCTGCCTTGCCTTCGAGATGGGGCTGGGTTCTGTGTTTCCTAAGCTGGGATCTGACTGTTGAACTAGAGGGGCAGGTTGGCTTGTTGCACAGGTTGATAAAAGGGCAGGCCAAACCGGTTGGTGGAGAAGAAGGCTGGTTATTTTCTCCCAGAGTGTGAGTCTGTGCTGCATCCCAGGTTTCCTGTGAAGAACTAAAGGGCTGAGCTTGCTGAGGGTACCCTGGTCCCCAGAGAGAAGGGTGACTCATGAGGCTAGAAAGTCCCATCTGGCATCTGCCTGTGTGCATGCACTTTTTCCCATCTCTGCCTCAGCTCATGATTTTAAGTTTGGAAAACAAAGAATGAGGCAGGCGGGGGCTTGCCTTCCAGCAGACACTGCTTGCACACTGGGACATGGTGCAGTGTTTGTTTTCTTCTCCAGGTGATCGTGTTGCTATTGAACCTGGTGCTCCCCGAGAAACTGATGAATTCTGCAAGATTGGCCGATACAATCTGTCACCATCCATTTTCTTCTGTGCCACACCCCCTGATGATGGAAACCTCTGCCGGTTCTACAAGCACAATGCAAACTTCTGCTACAAGTTAGTACCCACCGCTTTGCCGTGCCTCCTGGGACCTCTCTCCTGTTTGTTTGGTGGTCTTTCTTCTAGTTTCCCATGGTGATGTATTTGTTTTCTCTAGCTCATGATTCCAAACATGAGGCATCTCCCTGGCGGTTCTGCCCTTGCCAGCATTAAGGAAAGGTAGCTTCACTAGGGCTAATTCGTCTTTCAGTCTAACTTCCCTTCACCTAGAGCTTGGCAGTGCAGGCAACAAGTAGAGAGTTGCTGAGGTTGCTCAGCCCTCTCTAGCCTTCCTGGAAAGGACTTGGCATGGTTCATACTCCTTTATTGGCTTCCATTGCAGCCACCAGAAAGGGAACCTATAACAACAATGACGGGAGCAACGTAACAACAAACAACAGCAACATTGACATTTCCTGAGGAGGCACAGTGTGGTGCCAGGGCGTAAGCTGTGGGACCAGACAGCCTGGCTGGGATACTAGAACCTCTCCTTCCTAGCAAGTGACTTTGCCTTCCCCTGCATCAGTTTAGTTTGATCATCAGAATATATAAGGCAATGTATATAAAGTCATGTTTATTATTACTACATGTCTAGGCTTGTGCTGAGTTCTTCACATCCTTGTCTTATTTAACCTTCACTACAATTCTGTGAAGTGGCCACCATTATTGTAGTTTTACACGAGTGTTAACTGAGGCAGAAGGAGGCTAATTGATTCAGGGACAGAGCAGAGTCAGGAATCAAACCTGGGTCTCTATGAGTCTCAAGCTCTTACCTGGTACCTGTTGTTACTGTTAGTTGCTATCAAGTCAGCTCCAACTCATGGCAGCCCTAGGTACAGCAGAATCAAATACTGCCTACTCCTCTACCACCTTTTCTGTCATTGGTTTGCTTGAGTCCATTGTTGGAGCCACTGTAGATTTTGAGTACCTTCTTATCCCTTAGGTTGGAAGGCACAGTATCCACTACCCTACCCTAACCCTGGACCAAAATGGTTTTGAAGTGAATTTCTGTTTGGCAGAAGCAAAGTTCTACACCTTGTGCATGGGCCTTAGCCCATGGAGTGTGTTGTTACTGACGTGATGTTATCTCTCTGACCACACCCAAACACATTTCTCCTTTCGTCCCAGCCTGGCTGCTGCTTTGGCTCTGTCAGGCAGAATGGAGCTTGTCTAAGTGGAGCCCAGGTGCCAGTCATAGGTGCATTCTGACAGATCTGAGTTTTTCTTGTGCTCACTGGAAGCCTTGAGAGGAGTCACAGGCCAGAGACTTTGTGATGAGTTTAAATCAACATCTAAACCTGTTCTAAAAGAAAGCAGGTTAGGTGGACAGAGACCAGGGAGCTTGAGAAATGTCCACCTTTCAGCAAGTGGTTCCTGAGCCACTCCATAGTTTCTGGGCCCTTTCCAAATTAAGGGATCAAATAATGTTTTCAAGGAAGGCAGAAGAGCATATTGGTAAAACTCAAGACTAACCACCTTTAAAGCAGTATGGCGATTCCTTCAAAAGTTGGAATTAGAAATAACATTTGACCCAGCCATCCCATTACTAGGTATATACCCTAAAGAAGTGAGAGCCATGACAA